ACTCAATCCCAATTTCTCTGGAAAAAAACTTTTCACTAATATGGACAAATGAACCCGAAGCAAGCCAAACGCCACTTTTAACTTTTGAGGTGTGGAAGATCACTATTAAAGAAAGTCTGAAAAGTGGCAGAAGTCTAACGGCAAACCACACAAAGAAACATGCAACATGTTGAGAAGTGATTGAAGTGTGCACACAATCCACAGAAGCCACACTGAGTGTATAAGACAAATATATACACAGGAAGTGCCTCCCACTCTCTTGTTCTGGAGCTGATTCTCTCTCTCTCTCTCTCTCTCTCTCTCTCTCTCTCATGGCTGTGTGTTGCTGAGCAGCAGCCAGTCGTGTTTTTCCCCTCACCGCGATCACTCACTCTCATCCTCTGCTCTGACTCTTGCACGCTCTGTTGCTCCGAGGACGGACCCTACCTCTCCTCGACTCCTCTTTTCTCCCCGTTGATTATTTCTCACATCCTCTCCCTGCTGTTACTTTCTTAAACCTTTTTCCTCTGTAACCCCCCCCCCCCCCCCCCTCGTGTTGGGGGCTTTTGGTGTGGGGTACCCGTGTGTGTGCTTGAGCGTGTATGTGTGAGTGTGTGTGTGTCGGGGGGGTTCAGCATGGAAGCAGTGGCAATGTATACGTTCCGTGCCACAGAGGGCGATGAACTCAGTTTCAACAAAGGGGACATGCTCAAGGTAAGAGGGAAAAGTTTGAACCTCCGATTTGTCTAATTAGAAATGTGTTCAAGTCCGGAGCTCCGCCGTGCACAGATCTTCAGACAGTGATCATCCTCTGCAGTTTTTATAGAAACCTGAGCGCATGCACTCAGAATATAGATAGATCAACCTTCTTTTAAATGTCCCAAATGGGGCTAAAACAATACTTTTCCCACCCAATTTGGCAGGAGATAGTTACATACATGAAGAAAACCTGCGAAAGTCTTTGCTTGGTGACCTTTTTAGAAACGCATATGGCTTTTTCTTTTAATGAGAAGTCTGAACACATCTTAAATGTGTTCCTGGAGCAGCTGGCTTGCTTGGTATGTGGACTGGAAACAGGCAGAGGCAGCCAGCCTGATGTTGTTTGACGTTATTTCAGAGAACACTGAGGTGAAAAGCCAGTGTTGCAGAGTGCGGGCTTCTGGCATTTAACATAACTGTTACAAGAGGAATGTCTGTGATGAAGACTCACTGATTTGTGATAAAAGGGAGCGTTGCTGTGATTATTCGCGCAGAGAGGACTCACATTTGTCCCTCGTGCTCTCATCTGGATTTTACGCTGTAAACTTCCAGTTTTTTCTATTGACTTCCTTCCCCTTTCTGTCAGATTGGGTTTAATCAGTAAACCTGTGTGGCTTGGATTTAAAGACTTTCACATCTCCTGTTCGTCAAATCGAACGCAAATGTAACCTTTACATTTCAGGCATCGGAGTCCCCTCGTTTCCCCGTTTATTTTATACCTCTTGGTCGCAGTTTGATGTTTTACATTCCAAGAGCAGAGTTGGATGGGTCGTCTCATTCGTCAGTTAAACAGCAAATTAAATTTTCCCGGTCGGCCTACTTTTAGCTATAATTTTCTAAGTGCTACAACTACTAATTCCACCCTCTGATTCTTCTGATAAGAGGCAGAGATGCAGTTGGTCTACTGTAAATCTCGGGGTTAAAGGGCACGGGATCATCAGTAGACTCACACTGTGGCACCAGCTGTTTATACAGTCACACTTTTCACACACTGGGAGAGATAGATGAATTCTTTCATTCACATATACTCTTTGAGGCTATTTTGAGCCAGGTTTCTGAAGTGCCTTTGATACTGTTTTACTGGGTAATAAAAGTTGAGGATGGATTTACCTTTTTTTGTACACCATTATTCATTCCAGCGGTCCGTGTAAATGCCTCTCATTTCTGCTGTGTGCTCAGTCATTTGTTCATGCAGGCAACTTGAGCCGGCACGTTGAGTTTTGACGCGTAACTAATTAGAGCACACTTGTGTATAAGTGTGAACTTGCATTATAGCTGATGTGATGTATTCGTATAAACTTGAAAAAAGGGGACCTTAAAACACTGCTGGGTTTATGTGACATACTTACTTCCCTCCCTGTGGATAAACAGCTGTCTTGTGTCTGCAGCTCTGGTTTAAAATTGGTTTTGATTGTACTTTGGAATATTTCCTCTGATTTGTAAAAAAATTCTGTCTGAAGCATCCAATAGTCACAGCGTTACAAGATCAATAACAGCTCGTATGAACACATTTGAGAAACATCAAGCACACAGATCTCTCCATTGGTACGAGAAGGTTTTTATTCACTGCCTCTTCTAGCAAAACCAAATTGATCTTTCTTGTTAAAAATCTGGGTTTTCAGCTTAAATAAGAGTTTGTGTCGTTCTATTGGGGCGCATAGTTTTGTGCATTTCTCGTTGTGCGGTGGTCGTGCGGTGCCGAATTCATCAGGCTGAGAAGATTGTTGACTCATAAAGAAATGATAAAAATAGCTTCAGAGATGGAGAAGAAAAAAAAGCAGCAGCTCCAACATTCTGTCTTGAGCTAAAAGGCAGTGTGGCCAACTTTGGCGCTTGGGACACAAAAGTAGAACGCAAAAATGCAGGTTGAAATGCATAAGAAAATGCCTTTGAACTAAATTCATGGTTTCAGATTATTTCAGAACTACGCGACTTGCTTGCTTCCTCATCAAAGTGAAACGACACAAACGTATCCCTAAGCTACAGTTTAGTGTAAACTTCAAAAATGGATTTGTGTAAAAGTCTGTTAGGTAGGGTTATTGCATACACTTAAAATGGCAATATTTTCATATATGTATACACTAGAAAACTTGCCACTTGTCACAATGACAGCAAAGATTCTGATTCTGATTAACTTTTCTGGGACTTCTTTCTTCAAACACTCATTAATTTGGTTAAAAGTGAAACCACCAGCTCAATGAAATCACTCGGCTTTTTGAGTGATGACTAATGCCATGGAGAGTAAATGACTTTAATGCATTGGGACACTTTTTGAAAGATTCACTCTAATGTAGCCTCTGTTGAAATTGTGATCTCTAAAAGTAGAGAGGGGACGCCAGAATTTATTTGGCTGATGTTGTCACTGTATCTGGAACTTAAACTACAGATTAAGTTTTATTTTGTGTGTGTGTGTTCCTTGTAACCAAACAAGGTTGAACTAAAAAGTACTAGAATTCAAACTGCTGCTATTTTCAGACTTCAAATGTGTCATGGGCCACCTGGTGCCACAAATATGGCAGCGGTTTTGTATGTGTGCCAATTCCTATGACAGATAACAATATAAATAATATCAAAGTTCAGTGCCCTGGTAATTATTCTCTAAGTTATAAGTTCTATTTAATAGGATCAAATCCAGTTTAATGATGCATTTGCTTTGATTTGTACATCCATACTGATGTAAACCCAGTAAATTAGTCAGACATATCATAGCATGCTGAAAATAAGGTTGTAACTTCATGTCTAAATCCAGTTAAGTTTTGACAAGAGTCAGCATAGTGTGACTGACAGTCTTACTAAGTCTGGCCCTAAGTGGCTTAAATAAACTATAGGGGGAACATATCTTTAATGTCCTTTATTTGAACCTTGTGGCATATTTTACAGCATAAGGCAGAAATAAAAAAACATTTTAAACTTAAAATCACCTTGGGATGAAGAAACAGATACTTCTTGTGTTTGAAAATCTTCAGAGTATCTATGATCTGTGGAGCCAAGCCCTGATTGCTGCCAGGTTTCTAGTTGTCAAGCTGCACTGAATGTTTTAGATTTTTAATCTAACACATTGTTTAAAGGGTTAACTACCGTTTATCTGACATTGCAGTGATGGTTTTTTTTTTTCAGTTCTGAGACTCCAGACAGCTTGACAGAATCTCAGAAAGCTATGAATCCCAGCTCTGTATGGGGGATGAGGAACATAAGGGGGTTTATAAAATGCATTACTGCAAGCCAAGCAGAACAAGCAAAACAGCATCCTGAAAATTCAAAATGACAGGGCATGCTGCTACTGGATTAGAATACTGACTACAAAAGTGGCAGAAACTGATTGTCAGACCGAAATGGGAAAGGATGAAATAGGTAAACATTAAAGCGGAGGCATGTCATGAGATACTGAGTCTTTCACTGGCTTCATTACACCGGTGATTAAAGGCTTGTTTGAAAACTGTTAGGAGAGACAAATGAGCCACTATAAGTCATGCATTTATTCTAAATCAAGCTGAGGTCAGTGTAAGGACACCATGTGGGATTGTAACCGAACATAAAACACTTCAGCTTGCTATAGCAGAAGTACTTCAAATTGATATTTTACACAGTTTTAAATAAACAATAATAAATTCCTGTCTTACTCTCAGCTATTAGTAGCAAAGAATGTATTTTACATCCTCCAAATGTATAATACAATTATATCTATATGATATGAATAGAACGACCTGTCTATAATAGGAAACGTATGCAGTAGTTGTAGAATTTAGATAGTTAGAAGAGAATGCATAGAAAGGTGGGACAGCTGCCTGAGTCACAAACGTACCACTATTGTTCCAGTCCGATTTCTGACATCCTGTTCCTTTTTGTCTTCATTTCAGCTTCCTGCCTTTATATTTATGCCCTTCATTCTCTTACTGTTGAACTATTGGTTAAGGCAGTAAAAGAGAAAACAGTGTGGTTAGGATTTAAAACACACACACACACACACACACACACATAGAGATCCTTCTAAAAACTAAAGTAAAAAACTTGGATTGAAAAAGTTTTTTCCCTCGCCCCAGTACTGTATCAGATGACTGACATGTTCGGTAAACCGTGCAGGCCTAAAAGTCAAACGCTGGGGGTTGTGTCGTATGATTAAACATCAGTGTGTGACAAGTAGGGAGGGAGCCCAGGAACCCAAAACACAGAGAGGCAGAGCGAGGACGGCGGGCTTTCAGCTAACCCTCAATACCTGCAGAATGGGCAACATCTGATGTGTGCGTTTGTGTGTTTGCTCTCAGATCACCAACATGGAGGACGATCCTAACTGGTACACAGCCGAGCTCCACAACAGGAAAGGCTTTGTACCCAAAAACTACATCAACCTGCGGCCGCATGCGTAAGTATGCACACACACTTGCATCGTCATGAGCTCATCGCTTAACCAGATGAACGCTCCTCACACGTCCAGCTCGGGTCTATCTGAAGCTCATCAGTGGGAATGGGTGCAGCGGACAGCTCCGGGCGCTTTCTGCTCTGCTTTGGACATCTGCACTCTGGCATAAGGCAGCTTACCCAAAGGGACACTCACTGGCCGTCTTACATAATCACATGATCCAGCTCTGTGTGTGTGTATGTGTTTACAGTAAATCTGCTGGTACACCCTGTCTCAACCCCCCCCCCCCCCCCCACCACCACACCCCCCAGATGGTTATACACCAGCTGGGTTCTACATTTATGGTGACAAACAGCAAACTGGCAAGACAGCCATTCCGTCAGCTCGGCTCTTTTAATGAACGCTGATCCAACTCCAGTTGGAGTTTGTGCGTGCCCCGAGGAGAAATCAGCGGGGACTTGTGTCCCGGAGTCTTTCTCATTCCTTCTTCCTCGTTCATGTTTCTCTACAGAGCCAATATAAACACAGGATTCTGGCCTGGTGACGAAAAAAAAAAAGGTCACCCACTTTTTATCCCGGTGTTTTGGACGCTTTCTCTTAATTTAAGTCATCGGGTTCGCGAAAGCGAAACAGCTTGACTTCAGCAAGTCTTGCATCCAAGCAGTCTGCTCTGCCCAGCCAAACTAATGAGCGAGAGACTTGATTAAATATGACATCATTACTCACGCTCCGTAGCTGATGAAAAGTCGAGCCTTTTGGGGATTTGTTTTCTGTGTATATTTAGCAGCACATCCTAAAATAACTTCACAAACGTTCCACGCTACTTTGCGACCTTCAGGCTTTTGTTTGATTTCTCTACCAGCGCTGATACGTGCTCTCATGAGACGTTTTTAATTTAAAATTCTCTCAAACATCAGAGTTGGTAGATATCCAACCAACGGCACCTACTTTGTCAAGTTTATGTGCAAAAATTCTCACTGGAGCTTCTAAGACCTCTAACAAACAGACCATGTGTATCAAACAGCGACATCAGTCACTATTTCTTTTTCTCTTAACATATTTCTGTCTTGCCTCTAGCTGGTTTGCTGGCCGTATATCTCGTGGTGTGGCAGAAAGTCGACTCAGACACAGAGAATGTGGAGCCTTCCTGGTCAGAGAGAGTGAGAGTGCTCCTGGGGAGTTTTCCATGTCTGTCAGGTAGGAGAAAATTACTTTCATGTGCACCTACTGTACATATATCAAATATAAGTACATGGTGAGCTTCATGGATTTATATTTTCCCTGTAAGGGATGATTTTTTTTTAAATGCTATGATTTATGTACTCCTTTATATTACCTATGACTTTAAGTTTCCCCCTATTAGGAAAACACTTATTTTTCTTCTGTCTCATCTAAAGCAAACTGATTCAATAAGCAGATTTTGTTCAATAATACACTTTGGTTGCCTTCTCTCATGAGTGTGTGTGCAGGTAAAATACACTGTAATTGTGTGCAGTGTGCCACGGGGCGCCGCCAGATGAGCAGGGCCAGAGTCTAAGGGTTTGGGATATATTTGCTTTTTCACTTAGCTTTCTTGTAATTGCTCACACATTTACATGCGTATCATGCTCACCTAATCTCTAAAACCATTTCTCCTGATGGTTTTACAGGAATATCCCAGATAAGCAGTTAATAAGTGGCTTATAAAAAAGGGGTTAGCCTTGCATTGTTCTTCTGGACCTGACAGAAAAAGCACCATCCTCGTGTATTGTTGAATAGTTTGGGAGGCCTTTAAACCGAAAGTGACATAACAAAGCATCTAAAACAAGCAGGTTATTTTCATATGATGATCATTCCTGAGGATGTGCACAACCGACTCACCAAACGAAACCGCCGCCTTCACAAACACGTGCACGTAGCCGACAGCAGGTATATTTCCCCACCGTTGTGTGAGGCAGAGGGTATGAAGCAGGCTCTGCAGCCCCTTCGGCGTGATGTCAGTTAATCCTGTCTGGCACACCACAGAGTCTGGAGCTGCCGGTGTGGCTGACCGGTTTTTTTCAAAGGGAGGACACAGAGGCTGGGCATTGTGCCTCAGGGGACTGTTGGATATTGGAGGAAAAGAGTTGGGGTGGGTGAGAGCTCTGGGGTCTGGGTTTCTGCCGCTGATAACAGCTATGACTGGAATTAAAGATTGGCTCTTCACCAAGCCTTTCAGTCGGCGGGAAAAACTGACTGACGTCTGGGGTAAAGAGGATTGGATTGTTTTATTGTTTGTTATGAAACCGCCTGGGCATGATACCTCACTCCACTGGCACTTGTCATAGGACTGTTTTTGGTAGCTGGGAAGTAAAATAAAAAAGTGAAAGGAAAGGACGGTAGAAGGAAAAGGATAAAGCTGGGAAGCGAGGAGCAGCATGCGTTTATTGATATCTGTCTGGCTGCTGGCTCGTGTAACAGCCTGAAAAATGGGTCAGGTGTTTGTGCAGTTCTTTTGTGCTGATGGCTCTCCTGTCAAGGAAGACGAACTGACAGCAGGATGTGTGGAGACCTCAGTCTGAGCACTGTCTGACAAATCCACTCCACTCTTACAGAATAAAGCCAAGAAATAGCAATGTCTAAAACGCTTTCTAATCCTTTAGAGGCAGCCCCGTTTCGGTCAATGCTGAGCTGGTACAAAAGTCTGCTCATCAAGCATATTGACCAGATTTTGAATTTTTTTTTAATTAGTCTTAAATGGTGCATACTGTTAATTAATAATTATGTCATTTCTAACTACTTCCCTGTGTGGAGTTTGCATGTTCTCTCCATGGTTGCTTGGGTTCTCTCTAAATACACCAGCTCCATCCCACAGTGAAAAAACATGCATGTAAGGTTAACTAAAGATTCGAAATTTCCCCTGGGAGTGAATGTGAAAGTGTGTCCCGCCATGGGAGGACCCCACCTTTTGCCCTGTCAGCTGTGAAGCCTCCAGCTATGACAGATGTTCTATATTGTTTATGCGTGAATACAGATGCATGCAAAAATGAATGAAAAAGAATACTAAAAACCAACACACTTAACCCTATAATACCACATGTATCGTCATGTATTGATGCACATGGTTTCTGAAATCTTTTGCATCTGAGACCTTTTACATCATTTAATGGTAAAAACATTGCTCAAAATCCCGTTATAGTCAATCAGATAGACCTGATAACAGCAGGCAGAAGACTACACAACTATTTTGACTTATTGCACGGTAAAAACTATTCCTTTTTAAAAAATATTTTGTTATAAAGGGCCAAACAAAGAGTTCAAACTCTCTACTTATTCTTGGATCAGGATTCAAAGTGGTTAAAAAATTATGGTCCCCTGTAACAACCATGTGCAGAACACCAGCCTTCTATCGGTCTGTAAAAATACACTGAATAGCCACAGAATAGCCACAACTGCAAAATGGAAAATCCCTGCAAGTTTGAAAAAGTTTCCAGAGGATATGAACTGCAAAACTGGTGACATCTATGGTCCTCTGCTAACTACGAAAGAGAAGAGATTCACTGAGCTCAGGAAGCATATGGGTCCTTTTAAAAACCGGGTGCACTCACAAATACCTCACAAAAAGATGAATGTTTGTGAGGATTTGAGCTACTTTCAGATCATGCCAGTGAAACATTCCCAATTGGTTATTTAGTAGCTTATTTTTGGAAAGTGAAGTGAAGCGATGCCAACCCAGACATTTGAGATGAGGAATCTTTTTCTTTTTTTTTTTTTGCCAAGCTGGGCATTTTCCCCAGAACTCTTTGACTCTGCAGCAGGTACAACTATAGGTTAAGTTTGGTCTTTTCTTAGCTGCGCCCAACTCTGTAACTCAGAGGTGTCCTTTTATAACAAACCAAAAAGTAAAAATTGAAACATTTTCTAGTGAAAATCAACATACCCTTAACTTGCTTCCCTTTCAAATGGAAAATTTCACTTCCTGATTCACACTTTTCAGCGGTCACAAAAAGTATCAGTCTTTCCACCTACACGTAAAACCCACTGAAACTAGCAACTGTGCACAGTCTTCGTGATTCGTTGATAGACGCCCGTTAAAATAGTAACTCCAGCTAAATGTGAGTCAATGAGCTATGTGAAAGTGGATTTACTCAAAAGCTTGTGTAATTAAAACATGTTTCAACTGGCAGCTGTTTCTGACATATTTATACATCCTCCTGTAAAATGACTAAAAGTAATTCACCTCATATGTATTTTAGAGATTTAAAACGTGTTTCTAAGATAGAAAATTCAAGATATAAGCATTTTCTCTTTTCTCTCTCTTTGTGTCTACACTGGGTTAAGAGGCAATAACTCAGTCACTCTGTCACAATGGCTATCAAGTGTTTATTCCATTTGACAGACCAGCTGAAGAAAATAGAAATCCAGTCATTTTACTGAGCAAAGTGAGGAGAGACCCCTCACATATCAAAGCCTTTTCAAGAAAGGAGTAAAGTTCTTGTGGAAATTGGTCTCATTAAGCAAAAGAACACGAGTTTCTGCTGATAAATGACAAATATTCTTTCAGAAAACTTTTACATCTTAAATGGACAAACAACCTACCACCAGCAACACCAGACAGTGTCCCTGCCAACATCTGCTCTTTTCCTGTTTATCACTACCCCAAACACTGCAATGGAACTTCCATTAAAGGCACACAATTACTTTCCCGTGGCCTTCGTCTTATATTGGATGAAGGTCAGGTACAACAAAAGACATTATTTCCCCCCTCTTTCGATAGTCCGATCTTGTTTAAGAGAACCAAATCTCTCTTAGCAAAAGTATGAGAGTATAAAAGTGTGTGTCGTATCTAAAGCTCTGCTCAGTTTTTGTAGGCGGTTCAGTGAAGTTACATTTCCTCTATATTATTTTTGTTAGAAAATACCTAAAATACCCCCTTCAACTTTTCAGTCAAAAAGGTTCTTTACCTCGTTTACCCTGAGTAAAACAAAAAAAGAAACAAAAGTGCTCTTAAAAAGCGTTGTACTGTGAAGAGTAGAAATAGTAGATAATAAATAATGCATTGTGTAGAACAAATTTGGTGATACACGTGTGTTTTTACTGAAATGACACAAGAACACATGAAGGGAGGTTTATCTATAAGTTTGTCAGTTCAATCTGAGAACCACCAATGCTGAAAGCTCATGAAGTAAGCACTGAATCTGGCTGTTCATTCAGCTAGTCATCAGTCATCATTAGGCTCTTAACAGCGACATCAGTGCAAAGAGGAACCATTAAACAGAGATAACCCTGCGGGCTATGACTACTATACAGATCTGTACGGTAATCTTCTCTGAGCTTTGAGTAACACACTGAGTTCAGCCTACCATGAATGTCATCACTTGGGGGGTAATTTCACACTTGATGAACAATGGGGGGAAAAGCACAAGTCAAACAAACAAAGACATGTGGCCAAAACATTTAAACAGTAAAGTGTTGACTGAGTTATGCTATGAAACAGCAGCTTGGTGGAAATAAATGTTACTTGGGAACATATTCCCCCAAAGTCTGAGTAAAGTAGAAATATAAAATATAAACTATAATATATAATATAAACATATCTGACAGCTATCACATCTCTGAGATATTGTGATGTTATTCATCAATCAGGCAAACACTAATGACAAAAAATATACAGGCCGTGTATATTCAAAAAGGGTGCTGATTTGAAAGATCTCATATTAGCTTAAATAAGCTGCTTTTATGTTGCGAACAGGGCTCAGTTTGTCATTAATGAACCAAACTCCGTAGAGTTAGGTAGTTAGTGTTTAGACATACCGTTATAGATTTAGTGGTAAGCTAAAGGATTATGCATCCTATTATCCGGCTTTATCCAGCATTTACTCACTGTAAACACTCCCGTTGATTTACCTCCTGGTTTCCAATCCACCCTAAAAAGAAACAGAAATCTATTAAAAAGTCTAACAAAAATCCCTAAGCTCCTAAATATGGACTATAACATAAGTCTTTACAGGGCTGGAAAATGAATGCTATATACAGTATTTATGGCACAAAGGCCCTGCTGTACTTTATGTCTGCAGCTTCTTCACATTTTGCTCAAAACCAGCAATGAAGGACACAGAAATACAGACAGATATGTAATGAAAAGGAAAACATTGAGTAAATATGTATGGAAATAAGAGCAGTGTGGTTAAAAGAGGTCAGGGAGGCATCGGGGTTTGGTCGGCGGATTTGGTGTAT